GCGAGACCGAGCTTCTGCCACACATGCGGCCGAGCGACCGCGCTTGTCTCCCCTCGCAGTCTGGCCCGCATGCGGGGGTTTGGCTTGCGGCTGTGCCGACTCACCCGGGCACCACGCTGCCCCCGGCGCACATGCACGTCGCCTTGCGCAGGCGCCTGCGCCTCGCGCTGCCCCTCACGCACCGGTATTGCGGAGGCGATGGGTTCCCGGGGTGCGGCGCCGCGCTCGATGTCTTGGGCGACCATGCAGCGGACTGTTGGCCCGCCGCGCCCCCTTGCTTGAACAAGCGTGGGTCCACGTCGCGCGTGAAGGTCTGGGACCCGAGGGCAGGGTTGTCCCTCAGCAGTGGTTGGCCAGCACTTCTGCGCCAGGCGTCAGTGCGCAGGACAGGCGCCGCCTGGATCTTGTTCTTTACGGCGCCACGCGCTTGGGCGAAGCGCTGTGCTGCGACGCCACGCTCGTTGCTCCGCTCCGTCGCGACGGCCGACCGCAGCCACGCGCGGCCGAGGAGGACGGCGCAGCCATTGCGGTAGCGCGGCGCCGCAAGGAGGCGCGGTACCCGGAGCTTTGCCGGCCTGGCCCGCAGCGGCTGGTCGTTCTTGCTTGTGAAACGGGCGGGCGGTGGGGCCCCGAGGCGTGCGGCTTAGTTGATCGCTTGGTGCGTCTCCGGGCACTCCGCGCGCCTCCAGCCGTCCGCCGCGCGGCCGAGGCGGGTTGGCGCCGCAGGTGGTGGGCACTGCTCAGCGCCGCCTTGCAGCGCGCCCTCGCTTCCACTCTGCTCGGAGGACGTTGGCTTTCCCCCGCGCGGCCGGCTGCGCAAGGAGAGCCCGACCTCGCCGATGTCCTTGCTTTGGCTGGCCCGTCCGGGCCCAGCCTTCTAGTTCGGCGCGCGCGCGCGCGCGCGCGCGCTTCGTTCTCCTTTCTCGGCGGCCGTTTCGGGTGGGGGGGGGTTGAGGGTTCCCTGGGTCTCACTGCCGCTGGACGGAAAAAATATCGTTTCTCGGAAAGCCATGTTGGAGGCCCTCCAGGCCGTGCCCAGAGCCAATCGCTGCCTTCCTTTTGTGCGGAAGTTTTACGCTTGGCCTTCGGAGTTCGTGTGGCACGATGCGGCTTGTCAACCACACGCCGTCACCCAAGCCGAGGGCGGAGAGCAAGGCGACCCGCTCACGCCCGCCTTATTTTCTTTGGGCCGGCGAGCTGCGTTGGCGGAGGTTCAGGCCCGGCTGGCGCCCAGTGAGTTGCTTCTGGCTTTTTTCGATGATGTGTGCGTGATTGCCCGTCCGACATGCTCTCGGACGCTTCGTGGCGACACGCGCACATCCGTCCCAATGCCGGCAAAACCAGGGTCTGCCACCTGGCGTGTCAGAGTTGGCCTCCAGTGCTGATCCCGTTTTTGTTGGTTCGCGGTCCTTGGCCCCTTCCCAGCAAGGCCTTCTTGTGCTCGGCGTGCCTGGGGTCGGCCCCTTTCGTTGCGGCGGCTCCGCACCTTGGCGGACAGTCACGGTGTCCTGCTCACGCGGCTTCTGGGCTTGGAAGATGTTCAGGCTTCGTGGCTTTTGTTGTTGTGTCTCGGGCTCCGGTCGGCCGTGGCGGTCGCGCCCGCCGCATACTGGGCTTCGTGGGCTGACAGCTTGCCGGTGCTCCAACGGCAAGCCCCCGAGTTGTTGCAGCAGGTGTTGTCGGGCTTCGGCTCTTTGGCAGCTTCCGTGCCATGCTTGCGGTCAGCCTGTCTGGCCCACACTGGCGCCCGCCGACGGTCTGTTCGTCACGGGCGACCCCGCCCGTGGCTGGCAGCGGCAAGCGACCGCTGCCGTTGAGGACCAAGTTTTCCAGGGCTTGTCCGCCGGCCTCGGCCCTGCAGCCCCTGCCCTGCTGGAGTCCCAGCAAGGCCCTTTCGCCAGCAGGGTCCCTACGGCCCTCCCGACGGTCGCCGGGCTTGCCGCCCCTTCACACTTGTTCCGGACGGTCTTGCTCCGTCGCCTCCGTCTCCCACTCCCTGTCACTCAGAACACATGTCGATGCCATCGCCGTTTGGATCCTCGTGGCGACCATCGTGCAGCGTGTTCAACGTCCAGGGTTCTGCGGAGCCGTGGGTGCGGCCTTGAGCTGGGGCACGGGTGACTTCCAACACCCGCCTGGCTGACCTCAACCTGGCCGTCGATCGCCTCGACGACCGCCGGTTGGAAGTCGTCGCAAACGGTCTCCCGCTGTGGGGCGGCGCCCTCGCCCTTGAGGTCGGTGGCCGGTGGAGCGAGGAAGCTGCGTCCTTCGTCCGTCCTCGCTCGAGCTCGGGCGCGTGAAGTCTTTCTTCCCTTCCGCTCCGCCACGGCTGCCGCCTTCGTTGCTCGCTGGTTGGCGTTCCTGTCCTTTGCGGCTCAGCTGTCCTTCGCCGAGTCTCTCCTCGAGGGTCGTGTCAGCGCTGGCCGGTCTGGCTTTGGCGGTGCTGGGCCCGACCTCAAGCTCCTCGCCGACTTGGCTTGCCCGCCGCCCCTCGTCACCCGTCTTCGGTGACGGTTCTTGGCGCCCCCGCCTCTCCTTAGTGCCGGCCCACGCCACCCCGTCCTAGTGCCCGGGACTCCCCCTTAAGCACGGGTTTCACCGCTTGGGCAGACGCAAAAAGGTGCGAGAAAAAAATCATCGCCCGGCGTGCCCTCGCACAGCATTGCTGCGCGCTCGCGGAGGGCCGTTGGAGCGCATGGCTGCGCCAGTGTGCCGAGAGCCCCAAGGGATGACCGCCCATAGCCACCCGGGCCGCAAGTAGCTGTCGACACGCCTGGCGTTCGCTTGCAGCAGCCCCCGCGGCACCAAGGAACACACGCGTGCGAAGGCGCTTGAAGTGGGAGGGTCGCCCTTTAAAAAGACGGCGCAGATGCAACAAGGGGGTTCGCAAGTGGCCATACAGGACGGTCAGCTTGGGGCAGAGCGGCTGCTGAAAGGCCCAGTCTGGGAAGGGCAGCGCGCTTGCCAGCCCCGTGCGCTCAGCGCAGGCAAGTGGTGCCGGGGTGCCTGGTTGTGGGGGCGGTGCTTGATGTGATCAGCGACCATGCTGCTGCGTATCCTCGCAGCGGTCTTCTTGCCCGCCGCGCCCCCCACATCGAGCAGGCTTGGGTTCACGTCGCGCGCGAAGCCCTGGCCCGGAGGCTCGCGTAGTGCCGACCGATCGCCGGCGTCTGGACTTCGTCCTGTATGCCGCCACTCGCCTCGGCAAGGCCCTTTGTTGCGATGTGACGCTGGCCTCCTCGGCTCTGGCAATTCCAACTGTGACGGCGACGGCCCTCCGCGCAGGTGAGGGCGCTGGCCTCCAAAAAATCAGCCTGAGTGTGGTGCCTGGGGGCCCTCTTGGGCAGGGTTTCGGGAGCTCGACTCGTGCTGATGCAAAAAGGCGTGTGACAAAAGAACATTAAAACAAAATTTAAATGGCTGTCATGCTACGCGAACTAGAACAAACGGACGAACGGGAGACAGCGGTTAGCCCCGGAACGGAGCGCATCGTGCATGGCCCGCCGTGACACGGTGTCAAAGGCACCAACCCCATCCACACAAAACACTGTAGCCTCAGGACCAAGCTCGGCGGCCGAAGCCTGGGCATGGACGAGCGAGTCCGCCCCAGCCCGTGTGGAGAGGGCGAACTGGTGCGGGCGGCACGCCTCAAGAAAAGCGGGGGGGGGAGGGGTGCTGCTGAGCCAAAGTCCAAGCGACCAGCCGCCGACAACGCCCCGGACACGGCCAGACAGCTTTTGCAGAGCGACCAGCCGACCTAAACCAAAGGCAGACACGACTTCCGCTGTGGCGGTGCCTGAGGCTGCGTGCGTGGCGTGCAAAAGACCATGCTGGTCCGGGAAAGCAAGTAAGGATTGAGTTTTGAGTTCGCGGGCAGGTGGCCGTGGACCTGGCTTGCTGGAAGCAACTTGGCGGCCCTGAGCTTGCAAAATACCGCCTGGCAGGGTTTGGTCTTTTGCAATGCATGGGTGCACTTTTCGCGGGCTGTTGGCCAGCTGGCCAGGGTGGCTGGCTGTGTGGGCCCGGCACCCATTGGAAAAAGGTGTCAGGATGGGAGGGTTGACTCATGCTTGCTTGCTTGTGGCCAACCCTCCACCTGCACACGCCTGCTGCTTGTATTGATTGAGTGCATTGCATGATGTTGAGCCATCATGTGGCTGTCATGGTAAGGGGGTACATTTTGAAACCCCGCCCGTCCTCTTTTCGGCCCATGTGGGGTGCCAGCCCAATCTTGGCCAGGCTGGCCAGGGTGTGCGCCCGACATCCATTCAAAAAAGTGTGTCAGGATGGGCTGGCGGTGCGGGTGTTGCATCTGTGCTGTGACACGTTGTAACGCGGCTTGATATCGAGCCAGCTCCGGACCCTGGTTGTGCAGGTCCGGCTGGCGCAATAGCCAACTGCTTGACCCGGCTGCGACGTTGCTGTCCCAGTCCAGGCTGCGTGCCTCAGCGTTTCACGATGCTCCCCATGTGCAGCGGCGCCTTCGTATGCATGCACTGCCCCGCTGGCGCCACGCAGAAAAGGCAACGCATCGCCCGCTGGCCACGCAGCGTATAGCGGCGCGCCCGTGCGCTGCGCCGGCGTATGAATAGGCGTGCGAGAAGAAAACATAGGCTGGGTTGAGTTGCCTTCGTGGCTCATGGCATGGGCTCGCGCGGTCGATCGATAAACTGCTGCGTGGGGGTTGGATTGAGGCGCAGTAGCGCCTTGACCCCCAACAGCCAAGAGCATACCAACCTGCTGCAACATCCGCCACTCGCGCGCTTGGGTGATTGGATGCGATTGGCATGTCGGACGCAGCAACCCCAGTGGCACGCTGCCCCCCTTGCGGACCGCACGTGGCATCTTGTTTCACACTGCGTACCCCATGCATCAACCCTGTGGCTTGGCATGGCCCCAGGGGCCGGACGATGCCATCAGCTCTTGCCTCAACGGTCTCAAGCCGCAATGTTGCTAGTCAACAGGTGCTGTCCTAAGATGTGTTATGTCACTGCGGCCCTTGGTTCAAGTGGCTTATGCTGGAGGTTCCACCTGGTTGCCGCCCGACTCATGGCAAAGGGCATTTCGGCGGGCATGGCATCTGATCTGTATTGCATCAACCACGAACATTGGCGATACCATCCTCCTCAAGATTGAAGAAACTCACGAGCGGCAACAACACTTGCTGACTCAGATCTTAAATGCTCTGCAGCAGGACGTCACGTGGCAATGTCAGATGTATATTTTGCATTTTGATTTGCTCATTGTCATTGGAGTCATGTTATCAAATTGTATTGCCCAGGTTGCCCCGCACCGGCATGCAGTACAAAGACTGAGCGAGCCTGTCAAGCCCACACGACACTCTGTCAAGAAGTGCCTGTGGCTGCACCTGGTTTGCCTTTCCTTTGGCCTAGCCCTGGGCCCATGAGCATTGCCACACACTAGAAGCGACTGAGGCGATCAGTGCCATTGTCCTCAACTTCCATTGTGCAAGGCCAAGTTCCGAGCATGATGGAAATGCATCTGGATCTGCTGAGGGAGCTGGGGAGTCATTTGGAGACTTGGCATTTGTTTTTGGGGTACTGTGCCCATATGTGAGCCTGGGTGCTGAAGCTGTACCTCATGCATGCTGAAACTAAGTAAACGTTGGATGTGCCCCTACGTTGCAGATTTCTTTGCAACGTACTCTGGTTGGAAAGTGGACGGGGTAAAAAAGTGAATTGTGCCAACTGTTTCTGATGCAAAATCGATTCTGAAAAGCGGTCAGGCTCAACGACGGTTTGTGGCGTAGCGCTGTGCTCTGCGTTCTGGTAGAAACTGTTGGGGGAACGGCAAATAAATAAAATGGGCAGTTTAAACAGGCACACGACGCCCCGAAACATTGCAACAGTCCGGGAACTGGAAAATACCAATGCTATAAACATATGGCACAATTGCTGGCAAGACCTGTTTTCCCAAGTAAGTTTTGCCATCTATTCTTGCCCTATCCCGGCTTGGTTGTTCCTCTACGTAAGCCTTGTGTTTGACGTTTAGGTTTAGGTTTAGGTCACACATTGGCCAATCTATGGCACGGTTCCTTAAGTATCGATCGCAGTGTGCCATGCAGACGGCCGTTTTTTTCGGGCTCCTGTGCCAAGCGGGTCTGAACCATACATTGGATTGCGCCATCTACTTTCTAGCCAGGAGAACCCAGTGTTCGTTTGGAGATTTGCGAGGGAACAACAGCGGAACCAAAGTTCAGTCCGTGGATTTGTGGAATCTGGTTGTTCATCCGCGTTGGCGACTCCCAGGGCGGGGGTCAGCGAGTAGGCGGCTATATGGGCAATAGGTTTGACGATGGCAGGCCGCCATCATTGTTTCGCTCGTGATCGGCCATTTGTCCGGCATCCATTGTTTTCTCCGAAGTCCACTGGCGATCAGCGCGATTACAGCTTGCAACCCTTTCTCGAGAAGAGAGACCTACGGGCGGTCAATTTTGGATCCGGGAAGCGTGTGATACAGTGGTACGGGGTGTGACAATTGACCGTCCCGCGCCTGCCACATAACACGAGCTTGACAATTCGATCCGCGGCTGACCCGACAGTGTCTTTTCAAAGCAGCCAAGAAGCATACACTCTTGTCTGACTGTAGTATGAGGCCTGCATGCATGTCACCATTGCTTTGGCTAGGCCCAGCATGGCACAACGGCATGTGCAAACCCTGCAAGGTGCATAGGAACTGCACAAGTTGTGTCAGCACTCTGGGCCTATATCTTGACTGCTACTGGGTTGGATCTTTAGACTTTAGCTTTTTGGGCAATCAAGGGGTTTTCCACTAACCCCCCCCCCAAAAAAAAAGTTAAACTTTTTGCTGGGGGATCTACAGCACCCAAGTCATGGGTGTGGAAATTGGAGCATTCCGGGTTTAGGCGGATTATTTTTTTCCGCGAGCTGCAACAAACAAGGACTCCTCCTCCCACTCATTGTCACCGTCGAAGCCGAGCCCAAGCTTCCACACCTTCTCGTCAGTTGACGAGGGCAGTGAGGTAGATATCATTCCGCGGCCCCATTTGATCTTGCAGGACTGTGAAATGAGAACGCTGAGCCACTCAGTCGGGACAGCCTGTGACATGTGGTATCATTTGGCGGCCTTCTTCAGTGTTTGAGCGAGGACGCAGATGAGCCGGACAGTGAGATCCCAGGGCTGGTTGGCGACGCAAGTCGCTTTCTGAACGTGCCGCGGCCAAACCGCGGGTCTCGCATGCACTCCATGGACAAGTCCTCACAGGCCGGATTGTGTTCAATGCGGTTTGAGTGCTGAGAAAGCCAACTGCTTGGATTGGACTTGTGCTCAGGCCTTGATAGCCAGTGACACTGTGCTTATCCGAATTCGAATGTGCAATAGCTCTCAGTGATTGGAGGTCCAAATCCTGGAGTCCCACTCCAACCTGACGCCACTCGAAGTGCAGCCAACCAGTGCGCGTGGCTTCAGGCCAGTGAAAACACAATGCGTTCGTTGGACGGTTTTCTCCTCAGGGTTGGTTGATGTGCCAGGCTTCTGGAAGAGCATCCCATTTTGCTGTACTTCCTCATCGGCTCGCCAGCTCTAGCAATGCTTGTGGTAGTTCTAGGTTTTACCATCATCCATCATCAGATGATCAGCTACGGCTTCACAGTCTTTACCACAGCTCTGTACTTCCTCCTCGCCCTGGGCTCCATTTTCTTGCTGGGCCGTGCCCTCAGGCAAGGCTTCGAACCATTCGATCCATTTCTGTGCCATTTCTGTGCCATTTCTGTGCCATTTGGGAGACCTCGTGCTTCTGCTCCCGCAGGTCCTCGGACTTGCACTTGGCCACAAGCCGGCTCAACGTTTTCGTCTCAGACTTCAAGTTGCGTTGGACCGAAGTCTCGGGCAAGGAAGGCTGGAAATACGCTGCGGCCTGGTGCTTCATGATGATGTGCTTCTCCGTCACGCAGGGCTGCGAAGCATTCTTGACTCAGACTGAAGAAGCCTCCCCAGACGTTCGAGCGTGGAAGCATGTGATTCAGGCTAGTGCAGTGTAGAGGGTCATCGCCTCGCGCGTGATGGAGTGTTCGTGAATTTGAGTGGCTGGTTAGCTTCGGGCTGGCTGGCTGATGGGGCATTTGGTTGCTTTTGAGCTTCCTTTTTTGATTCTCTGTTGGTTTGTTTTTGCGCGCGTAGCTGCCAAATGGATTTGCTTTAGTCTTCGAGTCTTCGTTCGTGCCAGTCCGACGCGACCAACATGTGTTGGTTTGTGGTTTGCATAATGTTTATGGTGCAACTGCTTTTTGCGCATTTGATGCCAGGTGGTATCAAGCATAAGCTTTGGAGTATCCAGCGCCGTGGTGATGCTTTCTGCTTACATCCAGTCGCATCTTTTACTTGGTCTGGACAAGAGCTTGGACTGCTGGTGTTGTATCTCGGCTTGGGCAAGGGTTTACTGGCAGCTTATTGCTGTTCTGGCGTTTGCGGTGGCCTGGCTGTGAGCAAATGGAATTGTGAGTTGCGTGCCAAGGCCGCATTGTCAATGACGTGAACTTTTCGACTGGCGTCGAGAGTTGGAACGCCATGCAAGCACTTTTGAAGTGTGTTGGTCGCGAGCTAGCGAGTAGCTTCGTCGCCCTCCAAGCTCTGGCAACCTTGGGCTTCATCTATTTTTTAGCATCTTGCATGAGTTCTTGGCGGCTTTGTTATTACACCGTGCTTGGATTTCTCTGGCGTGCGTTCCCTGATAATTTTGGTGTTTGCAGGCTCTTACGATAAGCTTTCAGGTGAGCGGTGTGACGATGATTTTCCGCACAGAGTTCAGTGTGCTTCCCTTGCTCGTGGAAAGCTTCTCTTCTATGCCTCTTCTCTTTCTCTTCATGCTGAGCATGCGTGTTTGCGCTCATGGAGCCGACCTCACCGAGAAGTGTCGCGCCATGCCGGCTTTTGTGAACCAGATCCCCACAAACCTATACTTGGACAGTGGACGTCAGTATCTTGTTCAGTTCATCGCTGTAGCTCGGCTGCAACTCAATGTTAAAACAAGGCACTGCACACTTGGGTAATGTTGACCCAGTTTCTTAATAGGGGGGTGTTTCCCTCCCCCACTAAACTGAGGGACCCCCCCATAATGGGTTGATTAGTCCGGGGTCAACAGTAATTTAGTGGCCCCATGGTAAATGGTGCACGGCATGGCTCAGGACAGCTCAGCTGGGTTCACCGTGCGGAACGTGAAGCTAACTCAGGAAGTCTTCCAAAAGCAACTCTATGTCTTCGTTGGTCTGGTCTCAGGTCTCGTCAGCGTGTTCTCGCGGATGTACCTGTAGAGATCCTGATGCCCCATTTCCCATTTCCACATCTACTCGCTTTACGCACCTTCATGCAGACTTGACTAGTTCATTTTCTTGCCAGTTGTGGCTCGGTCAGCAAGAAACAGGTTTCAACTGCAGAGCACTTTCTGTTTGCCAAAGAGACACTGGCACAAAGCGGGGTGTGACTCAGTTGATTGCATCGTTCATTCCAATTCGAAGAGCCCCCTGGTTGGATGGCAGTGCAACTCTTTAGGCCATGGCTATGATGGCCATGCAGGCCAGACTACCCTCCAAGAGGTGAGGTCGGCCTGGGACTTCCTACCTTGACTGAGGAGCCACGGGGTTCAGATGTGGTACCAGCATCTGGCAACATGGACCTCTTTGCAGCCCCAAATTGGGCAGCTTTCAGCCTTTTTCCTCTATTGGTGCTTGCAAAGCGGCCGATTTTTTGTTGCCTAGCCCGGTGGCTGCGAAACAGCATGCAGCAGTTGCATGCATGCCGCCAGAGCAGAGTTGCAGTCGTGCAAGTTCGTGCCGTTTGAGTGACGTAGGCAAGCTGCAAGTTGTTGGCTCTGAGGGTGGCACGGAGCCATTCGGAGCCACATGGGCCATGGCTGACTTGGATGCGAGGCTCTTGGAGGAGCGGGACGGTGTCTGGGCGTTTCGTTGTGGGGCGTTGATGTTTTTCGTGCCAGGATGCTCGGCGGGATGAAGAAGACGGCGAAGACCTCAGATTCAAGAGGAAATGTATTGTAAGCATGGCACGCCTGTCCAATGGAGCATTGGATTCAATGGCCATGGTGGCCGTCGAAGCCGGACGCAGATCTTCTTGAGTTGCTGAGACATGCCGAGCTTTCCACCCGAGGCTTGGGTGGCGAGGCGTGCCTCAATTGGGCTGGACGCTGGGAAGCCCAGCTGACTTCAGCTGGGAAGTTTGTCGGTTGATCGACTTACACGGCTTTGCCTGCGTTCTCCACTGCCAAGCCCGTCTGGGCTCGAATTGAACCTAGCAGACCTAGCATTCCTGGCAAGGCAACCAAGAAGCCAGCTTGCACTCAAACTTGAGCCACACTCTCTCTAACTTTGCCCCTGCCTTTTCTGCCTTTCAATGGGTGAAGCGGATGACCTGGCCATTCTGAATGATGAGCTCAGGACCGATAGCTGCATGAGTTAATTGATAATTAGGGTGCCTGGCGTCAAGATAGCATAGAATAGGGCGGCAGCAGTGGCAAGCAAACTAGTTTATGCACAGAAATCAGTGTGTCATTGAATCATTTGTGCGATGCCTTGCCAGGAAGCAGGGCAAAACCGGGTCAGGCGCGCGGCTTCACACCTTGCAACCTATTCCGGCAGTGTTTGCTCGGCGAGGTCCTTGGCTTGCTCTAGAGTCAAATCCTGACGTCTTCACGGACTTCAGCCACAAGACGCGGCCTCAGCCAACCGCGCCTCGCAATGACGCAAAACGAAAGGTATGATTTCGTTTCTGGCAAAGTAAAGAGAACTTTTGGAGACGTGAGGATTGGCCTTGCCCGGGGCTGGCGGTTTTGCGACGTGCTGGGCCTGGATCCAGAGCTTCTGCAGCTGGTGCCACAGCCAGTGCTCGGCGCCGTGCTGCTCTTCCCGTGCTCAGAGCGCATCTACGCCGCCCGAAAGCAGCAGGATGCTGCGCTGCGCAGCGGCGGCTCCTTCTTGGGAGCCTCGGCCAAGAGTCTCTTTTTGCACCCCCGCCAAGCACTTCGTTTTGGTCGACTTTCCATTGTTTTGCTTTCTTCAGTCCTGAGCCCCGGATTAAGACACCTATCCTACTAGTAGGCCGCCAAAAGTGATAAGGGAAATTCTTTTGGGTGTCCCCGAGTCCCAAAATTGCCAGATATCCTGACAAGTGCAATGGTTCTGTGATAGGCCTGTGCTAGACATGAACGTGAATGAACTGATGAACACAATCCCAGGTCGAAGCAATTCCAGGTCAAAGAGAGCTTGATTGTTTGACGCAGGGTCCATGGAGTTGTTTTCTGACATGGGTAGTTGCTGGCTTAGTGTTGTAGGAACACCCCCATGGCTGTTGCCTCAAAAGGTAGGATCAGTACAATTAAGTCACACGAGCGGTGCACCAAATGAGTTTCAGAAACATGTTATCGGGGTATCTCTTTCTCTCAGACCAACCTCTCACCCTGTGCAGGTGCATCCGCGTCAAAAGAGTCTGACATCTTTTTTCTCAAGCAAGTCGCCTACTCAGCAGCTTAGACTTTGAGGCAGTGATGGCATCTGCATGGCACTGAGGTCGTTGGTTTTGGCAATGCTTGCGGAACAGTTGCTTGCTTGCTGCTGGGCAAGAAGTGGCCGTTTGCATGTGGCCCACAGCCCGCTGGTCCATTGCCCCGCTGATGAACGAAATCCTGCACCTAAGAAACGCTGGAATGATTCGATTCCCATGCAAATATCAACCAACAATGGTTTCTCATGGTTTCATTTTGCGGTGCGAACGCATTTTGCCCGCAGTATGTTGACGGCCTTGTACTTCTAGGCATGCGGTCTCCAACTTCCGGACCTGGGTGTCCCTCTGCGACGGGGCTTTGGCAGCTCGGCCACAAAACGCGCACCGGGCGCAACGAACACCTGGCGTGAGCAGCAGCAGCTTAGGAGACCTTCGTGCAGCACCAGATGGCGGCCAGCCCCGAGCAGCGTGGCGAGGCACTGCTCAAGGACCCGGAGCTGAGGCGCGGGATTCGCGACTTGGCACGGTTTGCCATTGGATGTGCTGGATGCGGATAGGGCGTCCTCAGAATCTGCGGCTTCCTCACATGCAGCGCAAACCCAATGTCCGGACCGTCACGGCCCGCCTTTGGACCACCACTTTGCAGCCTTCACAAGGTCGAGGCCGGCCAGAATAAGCGGCACGCGATTTGATTTCTTGTCCGCTTGGCAGTTGAATGCATTGCAGGCAGAATCGATTGATTGAGCTGGAAACTTGGCCGCCTCCTTTGTTGTGTCAGTTGAGGCAGGCAAACGGTCAATCCTACTACATATGCAGAGCTGCAAGGATTTTGCAAAGCAGCCATTCCAGTTTGGAAAGCTCTTCGACCCAGTTGCTTGTGTTCTTTGAGCGCGCAGTTTGCGCGTGTGGCACGCCCTGGCTGTCGGGGCACAAGGATGGCACGAAGCGTGGGCCAGTGGACCACGGCCCCAGCTCAGCCACGAGCTTTCTTTCAGATGTTGCGGCCGTGGTCAAGCGCAGCTTCATGGACGCTGATCCGGACTGTCAGTGCATTTGGGGGAAAACACTGGCAAAGGACATACGTTGAACAAAGAAGAGCCAAATACAGTTGCCAGAATTGATTGCAAAGTTTGAAAGGGAGTATATTGCTTTTCCATTTTCCAGCTGACGCAATTATGAAGGCCTCGGATATCGAGACTCTCCCAGGCATATTATGCAGACAGCTTGCTGCTTTCGAGGGCAAGCAGCTTTTGAGTTAGCTACGATAAGCGACAACCACGTACAAAGAACACCGAGGAACAACAAGGACCAAGAACAGGAAACAAAAACAACTCCAAAGAGCAACAATTAGCAGCAACAGCAAACGGGTGGCGTCCGGAGAGGTGTGCGGCGAGAGTGTGGCAGCCGCCGCTGGCGGAGGCGTCCGCGCTTCAGAGATCAATCAAGAGCCCCTACAGCGAACTGTCGGGGAACAACAAACATCCAGACGAACACACCAACATTCACCAACAAGCAAGCAAGCGAGCAAGCAAACAAACTAACAGAACAACAAGCGCGCAAACAGGCGAACTATTAAGCAAGTGAGAAAACAGGCAAGCAAGCAAGACAGAAAACAAGCACGCAAGAAAGCACGCAGGCAGGCAGGCAGGCAAGCAAGCACGCAAGCAAGACAACGCAATACACTACAGTACCGCCTTGTTCAACCAACCGCAACGCAACTCTATTCTACAGGATAATTGCAGCACGCAGCACGACGCATCACAACACAATGCAGTGCAGAACGACGCAATGAAAGCAATCAACGCTGCAACATAATTCAGAGCGGCACAACGCAATGCAATGGAGAGCGCCACAAAAGTACGACCAACGTATCGCAACATGTCGCACCGTATTGCAATACAATACTGCGTGACGCAACACGCGCTGGCACAAAAGCAGCACATCATGCCACAACACACAAGCGTAGGACACATTGCAAGACAGCACAACTCAACGCGACGCAATCAGCGCCCGACAGTCCAATGCAATGATACACAACACAACACAAAGCCTATACCAATGTACAGCAAGAACAAAAAGCAAGCATTCACGCGAAGAAACACATGAGGTTTGCAGGAGAGCTCGTTGCTTGACATGCGCAGGACGCCGTTGATTTCGCACTCTTGGCACTTTGTCGCGAAAGTGATGAAGGATGAGCGGCCACGCTGCAAGCGCAATGCGATAAAATCCAGCAAAGCCAGTGCGCAGCTTGGGCCCGCAGCCCCACAGGGAGCTACTGTATCATGGACTGTTGCTTTAAGCGCGTGACCTGACAATGTAACTCAGGCTTTGTGGGTTTCTTTGCCGTGCTTCTGTTCAGTGAGCCTGGCGCAAGTTCGGCTGGGCTGTGACTGACTTGGGATGAGGGTGCAGTTCTTGACCTGCAAGCTGCCTTCAAGAGTCCTGGTTCTTGACTTTGTTAGTGGTGCAATCAACGCAGCTGCCATAGAGACCCTGCGCAGAATTGGCATGCGTCTGTCAGCTCAATGCCAGCTTGCCTTGCGTCGCTGGAGCCCAACCAGTTCGGTCTCAGGAAGCAGTGAGCCTAGACAGCTGCGTGCAAGCGGCAAACGTTGCAGGCTGGTTTAGGTTGTTTGTTGCTTGTTAGCAGTTGGAACGCGTGCAGTTTGTCATAGTCTGACCCTCCGAGGAACGTTATAACTGGAGTTGTCTCCACAGAGGCGTGGACCAGTCAATCTCGAGCGGTTGAGGGTGGGAGCTCTGGCAACTGCATGCGCACCCCAGCCATATCGTTGCACCCAGGTGGAACGTGGAGGTCTCCACTTCTTGGGCCCGTTCAAGCCACTTGGCAGCCACTTCGTTAAATAAGCCCGAGCAAGCCCAAAGCGGAGGGTGGGGGCATTTGGGCCATCTGTATTTCATTGCCAGGGAACGTTGCATTGCCTGGTGCCACACGACCTTGGCTGGGCAACAGTTTGCATCACTTCGAGCTGCATTGCTCAACCTTCGTGCAGAGTCTGCATGCTCGTTTCTGAGGCTGTCAAACAGACCCCGAGCACATCCGTTTTCGAGGTTCCCCTCGAACAACCGCGGCTCACAAAATGCCTGCCACGAAATCTGCTCCGAGCTAGCATTTGGTTTGGAGGTCGACCAAGCGAAAGTGTGTACAGGGCTCACTTGTTTGAAGATGCGACAACTTGAAGCCAATTGAACGTGCAAAACAGGGCACGTTGCCGTGTCGATGCGGCCGATTCTGAGCAGAGTCTGAGCAGACCCCGCGCGCACGCGCTTTCAAGGTTCCCCTCGTGAACAACCGCCGCTCAAAACGTGTTGCGCCTGCCACGAAATCTGCTCCGAACTAACATTTGGCTTTGAGGTCGATCAACCGAAAGTGCGCAAGACTCGGCAACTTGAAACCAGCAGGAAGTGCGCTGATGGTTCACTTTTTCGAGATCGGGCAGCTTAAGAGTCGCAAACAGCATCGGGTTTCTGAATGCCGGCCAGCCAAAAGTGTGCTGTTTGCTATGTCTCTGCTTTCCTGCTTCTTTCTTTGCTATCTCTCTGCTTGGCTTGCCCTTGCTTGGCTATCTCTTTAGTTGGCACTGTCTTTGCTTGGCCGGCTCTTTGGTTTGTCATTTTGTTGGCTTGTCTGGTTTGGGTCGTCCGTAGCTCAGAAGTTTCTCATCTCAACATTTGCTTACAAAGCCACTGGCTCAGGAGCTTCATTGTCTTCCCTGCAGCGCAGGCCGGCCCGGGCCGGCCCGCTGCCAGTAACTTCATTAGTTGGTTTTGTCTAACTTTCTGCCTTTGGGGTGGCGTCGCTTCTAGGTTGCTGTACTTGTTTCCCCATGTCATCTTCATGTCCACATGTTGTGCCTGACAGGGAACCCTCAAATGGGCGTGGTCCGACGCGGACCGGACCCCCGTCCACACGAGAACAGGAGACCGGCTGGTGACCTTTTTCTTTTGCCCCAGACGCAGCTCTAATGGTTGGGTTCTGGTTTAAGCTTTGGGAGGTACGGAGCAAGGAGGGCAACATAAAGAAGCTAATCGCGGCGAGCGGCGCTTGGGACAGGGCACTTCCCAGTGAATTTCTCGGCACATGTACTTTGGTGAAGGATGGCTTGAAGGGCGCGTCTCGACTCGTGGCAAAAAAGCGAACATGATGCGCAAAGGGAAGGGAGCGTGGGGTGCAAGAGTTTCAAGAATACATGAGTGTGCAGGAAGTTGTTGAAATTCAACCATGAAAAAGTGAATATGGTGCACAGGCGCGCGCTTGTGGATGAGTATGGTACAAAGGGCAAGTGAGCTGGGCAGGGCAAGGACAGACCTCCGGAAAGGACCAGAGAGGCATGGGAGGACGTTCCATGTGCTGCCAGCACCATGGAGTAGCTCCCAACCGCCGAACCTGGGGAGGCTTGCCCTCCCCCCGTTGTGCGTGCCCGTTCACACGCTTGGCGGTTGGCCGGTGAAAACTGGTGCTGTCTTCTTCTCACTCTGATGGCCCCGGACGGTGCGTTGCACTTTGCTTTTCTTTTGTGCCTGATTGACAGTGCGTTGGCAATCTTTGGAATTGGGTGGCGCTTGTCAATGCCACGTGCGTTTGGCAAGTGGCATTGGACGTGTCGTGGCGCTCGGGGCACCCGCCTTTCGCCCAGACGGGCGCAGCAAGAGTTCCTGGGAGAGGCGGTTGAGGACCCACCTTCCTCGAGGTCCACGCGAGTATTGCACAACAACACAGATCAACAGGCAGGTCCTGGCTTTTGTGTTAACTGGCTCCACCCTCTCCTCCCTGGCAAGGATTGCTTGTAGACGTTCCTCCAGACTGCATCCTTTGACTTGAGATCATTCCTCATTGGATGCAGCCAGGAGCTGATCCACAGGACCCTGACAGTGGCGGCCAGCGCGGTCCTCGGATTGGAAGTGGGCTGGGCTTTGACATTCAAGGAACCTCTTACTCGTCAGCTGTGTGCTTGCGCGAATTGCAATTGAGCATGGGTTGAGGCCTATCTCCATCTCTTGCGCCGTGCAGCTGCAATTCGTGCCTTCAACTCTTCAAGAGCCTCTTGGTAAGAAAGAGCACACCGCAAAATCAATGTCTGCAGATTGGCACCGTTTTGTGAGCCTTTGCGCTTTCACTGGGAAAAGCTACGGGATATGATGCACATTCGTGGCAGCGGTTGCTGCTTACGCCAAACTGCTCCCCTGCCAGTGTCTACCTCTCCTTCGGCAGCTTCCTGGCAGCCAGGCATTGGGGCAGACTTACAGCAGATCCTGGCGCTCAATCGGGTGACAAGGGTAAGGGCCATGTTTTTTGAGCGCTTGTCAGGGAGCGATACCTTCTCCTTGCGGGGAACGTAGCCACACTCCCAGCGGCAGACTGCAGAATGCATGGCTCAATGGCGGAGGGTATATAATTCCAAGCGATATTTGTTGGCATGGGCTGCTTTGGGTGTGGCCGGGTGTCGCTTCGCCTCTTGCAGAGGTCAGCAACACCGCGCAGGAGTACACTCCGACCGACTTCTGGTCCAAGCGCGACGTGATAGCTGCAAGGACCCACGCGCCGAAAGGCAACACTGGTCTTATTATTACAACACGGCTTCCATTTGCTTAATCTTTTTTCAATTTTTATTTTCACTTGTTGGTTTTAAACGGAATCTATCACTACTGAAAATACAATTTTCTATTTTTCAAGTGGGCTGAAGCCAATGGAAGAACAGGATGCTCTATAAGATCAATCACACCCTGTGGCGCCACAATCTTAGCTGAGCAATGTGTTGAGGATTTGTCGCATGGCTCCGAAATACTAAGATCAAGGGTACGTCATGGCCATGCAGTTTGAGATGATGAAGGCCATGCCAAACTGAGAGACTGACACGAGCATTTGCTTTGCTCGTGCAGGTGGACTTTGCAAAGCAGTTTGAAGACTCTATTACAGCCGTCCAAGTGGCCTGCCTGAAGCTATGGATGGGTAAAAAGCGCAGCTGTTTTGAGGAAAGCCGGCTTTGAGGGGAGGGAGCCAGTTACCCCTTTGGGACGACTTTGTTCTTGTCAGGTCGCCGAGCAGGCCAAGGTGGTGAACGAGTATGAGCAGCAGGCAAGTGTACCCAGAGTCACCTAAAGCTAAGGGTATTCGGGCGTTTCACACACACACATTTGTGCGGGCAACCGGGCCATCGTTGGACGTCAGAAACAAAAGCCAGCTTGACCAACCTGATGCCCATTGCGTGGTCCTGCAAGGTTCAGAGGGTAGTGCAGCACATCTCGGTGATGAAGTCAGAGAACGAGGTGCAGTGATTTGCGATATATGGCCAGGGGGCAGGTATGCAGAGGTGCCATCCGAATTTGCCACAAGTTTTACCATGCCAGGCGCTTATTGCCAACATCTCAGCACACGCGGATGCGACCTCAAAGGCGGGGGCGGACATTGCCATTCCATTTGTGGCGCATCAACATTTGCTTTGGAGAAAGGGCAGGCGTCCATATCAAGCTGAGGGAGTGGCAGATCGTTTCGACGCCAGACAAGGCCCCTTGCCAAACGGGTGGTCCCAGGAGCTCCGTGCTGGGGCGCGGCGTGATGCCTTCAACCTCAAGCAGGGCATGAAGGCAATGGGTTGCATTCCGGTTTTCCGTATGCCGTGTTACACATTGCTGGGACAAATACTTTGTCGCCTGTTTAGACGTTGCGTTTTTTGACATGCTTGGTTTGCAGGTTTGGGGGGGGGGTACTTGCGATACTTACAAAGAGGACTTGCCTAAATCAGACCATGAAAACAGTATGGCGTTAGCTACTCTGGCAAGTCAGTTGGCCGTTTCCTAAGTTTCCGAAAGGGCTGTAATGAACGCACAGCTAGACTTGAAAATCAAGTCTGGTCACGTGGGCACGGCCCCGAGAAGCAAGAAGAAAAGAAGAAGCAAAGGGACAGCATGTTGTTCGGGCAGCCCACGCTAGGCTTGGCATAGGGATAGCGGTATGCGTCTTTTCACGTCCTTTAGACGTGTCAGACGTCAGGCCAAGAAATACGCCGAGCTGCGCGATGCATTGGAGCGCGGAGCTCGAGGGTGGTTGCACTTAGGGCAGAGGGTGTGTAATTTTGTCCTCATATTGAGTTTATTTAAGAGAGCGGGCCGCCATGGGGCCTGTGTTTTTCCAGTGTAGTGCCTTTTGGGGCCTGTGTTTTTCCAGTGTAGTGCCTTTAGTGGTGCAAACAGGATTTGTATTTATGTTGTGTTTTTCTTTGTTAGACCAAGGAGCCAGAACACACGGGCATGTCTTTGTGCAAGGCAGCTTTTTTTTGTAGACTTGTTTGCTGGACTGTTGCCAAATCAAATGCTATGTCACCCTAATTAGTGACAGAAAGAGATTGAAGATGCCCTAGGCTGAATCAAAACTGCTCTCACTTGGCGGACGGTTTCTTGTAGACGGAGGAGCACTGATAGGGCTTGGCCACACGCTTGCGCTTCTGCTGGCCGTGCTGGTTGATGTACGTGGCCTTCTTGTTGCGGATCGCTTGGTTATGCATCTTGCAGTAGTAGAGCACCTTGAAGGCGTGCCGGAGAGGAGAGGATTCGTTCAGCACACGTGCGTAGTTCCGAAACCACGCGAACACTTGCTCTGCCGCAGACGTGTTCACGTGCTTCAACCGCTTGGCCAACCGCGGCGCATGCAGAGGGTTGCACTTGCATGTCTTCTTGTGCCCGGTGGCATGGAAGCAGTCGATGGTCCAATACTTCACCTGCTTGAATTCTTTCACCTCCAGGGCTTGCGGCATGAAGGCGCAGTTCCGATCCAGCACGAAGCAGTTAACCTTCTTGTACATGGGCAAGATCTTCAACAGTGAGTCCTTCACAACTTCGTTGTTCTCTGGCTTGCTTATGCAGGAAACCGAAAGCACTTGCAAGTTCTTGGGGTCGACGATCATGAACCACCCGTGCCCGTACGGCTTGCCCTTTCCATTCTTGCGGGGCTTGCCTTGGTGCGGCGCAACCTCAGAGCACTTCACATGGACTTTGGCATGTCCATCGCCAACTAGCTCTGTGACAGAAGCTTTGTTTCGAGGGGGGAAGACTTTGGAGTGCAGGTGCTTGTCATACGCAGCCAAAGAGATCTCGGAGAGTTCGTTGCCGATCTCAATGGGTTGGTTGATGCCAAGGGAAGACAACTCCTGCAATGCCGCCCAGTACATAATTGCATCTGCGTGAGCCTTCCGGAAGCGAGTGAAGTCCGTATCATCCACGGTGCCGTAGACATTCTCGTACACATCCTGGATGGCTCTGGATGAAACAAATGCACGGAACTCAAGCTGGGTGTGGTACTGCAAGTACTCCAAGCTGAAGCCACGCTTCACGTTCACGAACAAGACCTTCTGAATGTTTTGCGGGTTGGCGGTGTTCAGTTTGCATCCATCGACATTGACAAAATTGGGGCCGTAGGTCTTCCTGCAACCCCAAGCTGTGCAGCGCATAGTCCGGACGATTGCATCAGATGGACCACTCATGGAATAGACGACCGCCTCGATGTCATGAGCTTTGGACAAAGCCTTGTGTCCACACGAGCAACTCTTCATGTGTGTGCTGTACACAGGCTTGGAGAGCGCGCCACCGGGAATATGAAAAGCAGGGCATAGGCTTGAGGCACCAGCGCACATGAAGGTCAGCTTGAAAACATGGTACATCGGACTCTTCATGAACTCCGCAAAGACATCCGCCGAGATGTACGCATGCATGCCATCGTCGACTTTCTGCACCTTCCCGTTCGCGTTGATGACAGCGAAGAAATGGCTTCTTGTTGTGTCCAGCACGATAAACTTGCCTGGCTGCAGCTTGCTGTTTGTAGACACTAACTTCAAAGTGGCACCTAAGGGGGCCAACATCTCACATCCATCAGCCGCAGTGAACGGGCCATTCTTGTCGTAAGAAATGGGGCACCCAAGGCTGCGAAGAGAATTGCAAAGGCACACCTCCGAGTAGGTCTCGTTCGAAGCACCGCAGCCAGCAGGATGAAGCCAGGCCTCATCCATCTCCTCAGCTGCTTGGTCCATCTCTATGGATTCTTGGCTGCACAGCAAGGAGCTTGCTGCTCTGGTTGCTTCCTTTGGCTGAGCGTGGTCTGGGGCAACAGGTGAAGGTGACACGACTTTCTGCGGGGAAGAGTCCAAGTCGATCACGCTGCCAGAAGACTGCATATTCAAGCTCCATGTCTTAGCTTTCTTGAAGACCCCCTCCTGCTCCATCTCAAACTTCTCCTTCTTGACCGACACTGCAGACTTCTCAAGGGCACGCTTCTGCTTGTCTTGCATTTGCAGAGTCACCGAAGGAACCGCCGCTGGCCTCTCTCCGAAAACTTGCGCCCGAATCCGATTGCGCTTGGCATCTTCCTCTTTGTGATTAGCCATGGTTCATATCATCATCAGGGACGTCGCGTTAGTGACCGACCTGTGGTGTTTTGGCTCAAGTTTTGGATCCGGCGCGCCTCGGATGAGCGTCGCCGGGCCCTCACGTCGACCGCCTTCGTGTCGGAGGAGAAAGAGACTTCGGCCCGGGGTAGGTTGGTGGGGATCGCCCGTGCGGTTCATCGTCGATCTAGGTTGCGGGTATCCTTTTCTTGTTTGGTTTGTTTCCTTTGGTTGTTGTTCTCTGGTGTGTGGGAAACCCTGATCTTTGGGACCGGGGATTGGTTTGCTTTTGGGGAACCTTTCTTTTGTGGCTTGTTTACCCCAACTTACCCATTGCCTGGGCACAGGCTCGTGCCCGAATCACAGGTTATCAGCCGTAGGACTTTCCTACGCGCTTGAGACCATCAACTACAAGCTCTATGTCGACCCCACGATCTCGAAGGAGCGTCGTGGATGAGGAGGCCATCCTAGGTGGCCTCCGCTCAGGTGAGGACCTACCGGACTATGACTACGAGGATTTCGAAGCAGGTTCGACAGGTCAGGACCGCAGGGGTGAAGATCCCGGTAGGGATACACCCAGGAGCCGTGGCAGGTACGCCGACGATGGAGACGATCGTATTTTCCGCCAGGCCACTGATGACGAGCAGACACGAAGGGTTTACTCCGATAGGAGTGGCTCTGAATCAGGTCACAGGCGTGGACGTTTTGACTTCATCAGCATGGCGATGGACATGGCCCGCCCTCATTCGGATGACCCGGAGGCCATGCCGATTCGACCTCCGAGATCTCTTGTTCCAGGTGAGTCGCAGGTCTCGGATGAGTTTGAGAATAGGCCGCAGGGACCAGGGACTATGGTTCTGGCTCCGGGAGGTACCCCGGGCCGATCCACTGGTTCTCAGAATCCAGGTCAATTTGATGAGCACGAGGAGCGGAAGTTCTCAGACTTCGGATACGATGATCTGTTGAAATCGACCGCAGGATGGGGCAGTAGCTGAAAGCAGGGATCTGATGCCGGTAGGCCCAACCCTATTATTGCCAAATCTGAGTCTTATGATGACGGAGGTTACAATTTTGCGGATGAGGAGGAGAGCCATTCGCGCCGAAGTGCAGGCAACCGTGCGGCTGCAAGGACTAGTCCTGCCGCTGCCAAGTTTGAGGTAAATGATGATGACGAGTATGCCGCATTTGCGGATCGCCGTGATGAGGAGGAGCACCAATCACGACGAAGTGCTAGGATCCGTGATGCTGCGAGGCCCAGGAGCCTCTCTCGTGGAGCCGCCAGGGACCTTCGTGTTGACAGGGACGCCCGAAGCGAGAGAGAGAGAGCCAGGGACAGTCGGGAAGTTCTTCGGGGATTGGAGGCTATCCATGACCGTGAGGGACCGGTAGGTCCCCCGGCGATTGGTGATACCCCGAATGTTCCCCCTTTTCCCAACATTACTTTTGGAGGTCCGTTGGATCAGAGAGACGTGAACTCGAACCGGGTTACTGGTTCGCCGAGGATCACTGAGCGGGTTGCCGATGTCGTTGGGAGAGGTGCAAGAGATGGCCGGCTTGCCGATGCACTCGGAATCGAGGATCATCCGTCGATCGCTAGCCCGTTAGGGCGAGATACTAGTGACCTTGAAACACTTAGGTCTAGCAACGAGTTCACACCTCAGTGGGGCTCGACCGCCAGGGAACGTAGTGCTTCTGCGAAGAGACCGTCACCCCTGGCCATTGAGACCGATAGGTCAAAGGCGAGGAGGGCTAGCCCCTCACCAATGGATTCAACTCCGCAGGATGAGGAGATGCCTGATCCTGCTGATGTTCACATTCACTCCACCCCCGAGTCACGTGCATCCAACATTGATCCCCGATCTGGCGATAGCCGGAGAAGGGGATCCACCCCGAGTAGGCCATCCAGGATTGATGATTGTCCCGTAGATGACCCAAGAAGGCATGCCGGGGCTAGTAGGGCTCCTGAGAGGATCGAGATATCGACTCCTCCCGCCCTCAGATCTCAGTCTTCTGGCGAATCAGGTGACGTCAGGGCAAAGGAGATGTGCACATCCAGGAGATGCTCGAAAGGGGTGAGGTTTCTGGCTCAGTCGCGAAGGCGTTCCATATCTTTGCTGACCAAATCAGGGTACTGAACGGTCAGGTGAGTTCCATGCGAAGGGAATGGAGTGACGAGAGCCGACAGACGAAAGACAAGGTCGATCGCCTGGCAGCTGAGGTTGCGACTCAATCTGATGCCGGGAGGCTGCGAATGATAGTTCAACGGTTTGCAAGGGAAGTTATTCCTGACAGCAATGCCATTGTGAGGCAAGCCATCGATGAACAGGCTGAAGTCGTCGAGCAGAGGATCAATCTGCTTTCCCACGAGATCCACGAATCTGTTAAGGACAGTGAACTCGCAACAGATCAGCTTCGCCAGAAGATTCACGAAAATAGTGAGGCTACCCGCAGGAGCCATGCTGCTTCCGAGGACGAGATCCTCAAGGATTTGGATAAGCTTGAGAAACGAATGTTCTCGGTAGAGAAAACCGTCGGGATGCGGACGCCAGCAGGTATATGGAACCCGAATCCTGTCGCGCAACCGTCCGATAGGGCCAGCAGCAGTGTGGTTGACGCGAATTTCAGGGAGTTAAACCTGAAGATCGAGAAAAC